GTATCGTAGAGGTGGATCCTAGTCTCTGTTTGAACATCAGGCCTGCCATGAGTGGCGTATGCAGGTGGAAACCCTTTAAAATATAGACCCCCCACCTAATCTACTGGGTGACTTGGTCTTCCAAAGCTCATTTGCTCAGGGAATAGTGTATGTGGAGGTTTTATGATTTTTTTTCCCTTTGCTGGGCTCAGGCGCATTTCACCCGGAACGTGTAGGGACCAAAGTCAGCTACGCGTACATCACAGTAAGTTGTCTATTGATTTTCCTGAATGAAAATGGTCTGATGCTGCTGCCCACTGGCTCCTAAAGCCTGTGGTGTCTCTTGCCTGAGCATCTGTAAGCCAGAAGGATGGTGTTTCGATCACTTGGGGTTTCCCCTTTTTTCCTCCCCCTAACCTTTCTTCCTCCTCTTTTTTTCTCTTTGCTGTTTCTGCAGGTCTTAGAAGGGGATGATTCCCCAGTAACATCCCCTGCCCTGATCCAAGGTGCCCCTCAGCCTCCCTCCCAGGGAAGACTGCTTCTTGTGTGACGCGGGCCATAGGAAGAAACTCCAATGGACTTACACCGGGCAGCCTTCAAGATGGAGAACTCATCCTACCTCCCCAACCCGCTGGCATCCCCAGCACTGATGGTCCTGGCGTCCACGGCTGAGGCCAGCCGAGATGCTTCCATCCCTTGTCAGCAGCCACGACCCTTTGGTGTACCTGTCTCAGTAGACAAGGACGTGCACATTCCATTCACCAACGGTTCCTACACCTTTGCCTCGATGTACCATCGGCAGGGTGGGGTGCCGGGCACTTTTGCCAATCGAGATTTCCCCCCTTCTTTACTACATCTCCACCCCCAGTTTGCTCCCCCAAATCTAGATTGCACTCCAATCAGTATGCTGAATCACAGTGGTGTCGGCGCTTTCCGTCCCTTCGCTTCCACTGAGGACAGGGAGAGTTACCAGTCGGCCTTCACGCCCGCCAAGAGACTGAAGAACTGCCATGACACAGAGTCTCCCCACTTGCGCTTCTCAGATGCAGATGGCAAGGAATATGACTTTGGGACACAGCTGCCATCTAGTTCCCCCAGTTCACTTAAGGTTGATGACACTGGGAAGAAGATTTTTGCTGTCTCCGGCCTCATTTCGGATCGAGAAGCTTCATCTAGCCCAGAGGACCGGAATGACAGATGTAAGTACTTTGGTGTGAGCCTTCCCTACCCCCAGTAAGCCCTGCCTTACAGTAGTGTTCAACAGGTCGTGGCCTTTTTCCTGTTCCTAGTAGTGGGAAGGGCCAGTTCCTTCCCATTCCATAGCTATGGAGTACTAACCTTTACTTGTCTCTGTCAGTAAGCATTGAGAGTTCTGTAGGAAATGTTTTCCTGAAGGTAGCAAGTTGGCCTCCACAATACCTTTCTCTGCAGGGCATGATTAGCTTATTCCCTGGGGACTCTGGAGTGAAGAGGGGTGCCATATAGGCACCAGGAGTGAATGTCATTTCATTGGAAAGTGTAGGTTCCAAGGGAATTTGGGGGGCCTGGAGAAACTCATCCATCCCTCCTCTCTTTGCTGTCCTCATTATGTTTCTCTGATCTCAGTATTAGATTTTAGCTTTTCCATTGTATCACATCCAGTGGACTCCACGTGATTTTATTGTCACAACTCTCAGCCCTTGTCCATATCAGGCTATTTTTCAGAGCAGGACAGAGGTGTCGTCAATCACCATAAAACATTTCAAACAGTTGTATTTTCCTTGCAATCGCAAGGCTAGAAAGCTGACTTCTCTTGGGATTTTACAGGTTTGCTGGATGCTTATTAAGGGGCCCACTTTTAGGACTAGAAATGGTTGACCCATGTGACTGCTCCATATTTGATGTTCACAATTATTATTAATTTCTGCTTAAGGAACAGCTTTCTCATGTTCTCCAAGTGCCTTTTTGGGCTCTGGCTACCCTCACTAATAGTTGGAACTAAACCTTGATTTGGAACTTGTAGACTGCGACTGCTGAACCCTGCAATCTTCTCATCTACTATAATAGAATATAACCAGAAAATAATTGTGTTTTAAAGCTTTTGGGCTGTGGGTAGACAGAGCAGTTCTCTTCAAGTCTGGTGAAAATTTATGAACTGAGGGTGTTTTCCCACCCAACCCTTTGTTCTAAGGTTTGCTTCATTTTGTTTTCTTAAGAAAACTACATCTGAGGTTTGCTTTCCCCTCTTCTCTATGTCTTGTGCTCCCGTCCTCTCTATAACTACCAACACGAATACCATTTTTTTTCTCTTCTCTTTATGATGCCGAGGAGAGTAATAGAGACATTGCAGCTCTCTCCCCTGTCGGCACTGCTTCCTCAGGCTGTCTCCTTGAATTAGGCACTGTGTTAACTTTCCTGCGCTAAAAGGCATCTGCCTAAACCCAGCGTACCTTTTCAATAAAAGTCATCATAAAATCAACCTGCCTTGTAAATCCATCGCTCTTTGGTTTTGAAATATGTTGCAAGTGTGTCTTTTATGTCAGCCTCTGTAAGCCTGAGACCTCCCCACTAAAGGGAGAAGGCTGCTATGTGACAGCACAACTGCCCGTGTGCTCTCTCACTTTTGCTTTAGCCCCTCTTCCACCTTTTCCCTTTCTGTGCAGCTGATGTGTGTGTTAGGATCCTGCTTTTTGGATATACCTACCTGCTGAACATAGGCTGGCTTTGTGTTGGTCTGTTTAATTTTATTTCGGTTTAGTTTTTATTTGTCAATGTGCAAGTGCTCAAGGCTAGCTGTAATCTGACCTCTGGCTAAAACTGCCCTGGATTAGGGTGTGACAAATTCTGCCCCTTTTTTCTGCAACTACAAGTTGAAAATGAAACCCTCTTCAAAAATAATGTGCCACAAAGTAACATCTGCAGATCAAGATTCCTTTCTTCTCTCCTAACATATCCAGCTTGTCTCCATCTATCTTTTTAGCCCAAACCTGTGTCAGACCCCCAGAGCCAGGAGGAAGCTTGTTAGTCAAGTCAGAACTCATAGATGTGGATATCCATTCCCCTCTGAGTGTCAAAGCCATAACTCTTCTGTTTGCCTGGTTTGCATTGTGTGGTGGTGCCATCCCCCATGGAGATGGATCCCTCACACAGGAATACGCCTGGGTGGAGAAAAATTAAATGAGTCTGTCTCCCAAAGTGAAATGGAATTCTGACCTTGAAATTAATGAGATTCTGATCAGAAGGGTGGGGAAACTTCTTTATTTCAAATTGTACGGTTACATAAATTAGAGCCCATTCTCCCTCTATTTGTTTAAAATATTCTTCCTTTAGAGAGTAGTTTGTGTTCTCCTTTTTTCTCTATCACAGATATTCAACCTATGGGTGTGCATGTGAGTGTGTGATGTTTGTATACCCACATTAGTATCTAGAGTTGCATTTGGGACTAATCCTTAGCAAAAAACAAAGGTGCCAAGTGAAGAGGAGACTGCCCAGTGATAACCCTGGATCTGTGCTCCTCTTTCTTTCCTTTCCTCGGACAGTGTGGCAGCCGTCACAGGGTGGTACTGCGTAGCATCTGTGCTTTTGATTTTGAGTGTTTGGAAGGCAGGAGAAACATTTTTCTGTCGGGAAGGGTTGAAGAGGCCCCGTGACAAAGTCTGTAGCAGCTTTCTTGGCTCTTGTCATATGCTGATGTGTGTCAGAATATTTATGGTCTGTTTTATGTAAATACATATTTAAGGGCCGTTAGAAGGCCTGATTATTCCCACTAGATGCCTTTCAGGTCCTCCCTACAGAACCGTTTTGAAATAAGTAATATTTCTCAGATAATCGAGTGACAGTATACAAGACTGCTTCCAAAGGGAGAGCTTGAGGGGCAGATGGGGCAGGGAGGGGGATGGGAAGGCAAGAGGAGAGAGAATAGAAAGTGTTCAAAAGAGTAAAGTAATAGGTTAAGTGCCTTTTGCCCAGACTGCCAATATAATAAAATATAAACCATACATATTTTAGTTTTTATTCTTAAAATTTAGAGTTAATTTCTGATATGGTTGACTCATTTTTCAGTTCTCTTCATATAAACAATTTTTTTTCATAAAGTGTAAAAAATTTTTTCATTAAATACAACAGTAAAACTCCTAAATAAGCATTTAGCAGGGGTGGTGGTGGTGGTGGTGGTGGTAGTGGGTGGTGTTGTTGGTGGTAGTGGTGGTGTTACTGGGTGTGTGTGTGTGTCCCTTACATAGAGAAGTTTTATGACTGAGTTTTAGGTCAATGAAAAATCAGTTTTACAATGGAAACACTGACAGTTTTTACGGTTGCAGCCACCCCCTGCTCACACACTATATCCATATGCAGATACGTTCACATGTGAGAGCATTTGAGAGAGGGGCCTGCAGACATGGTGTAATGTACACATGTTCTTTCCTTCAATCTGAGTGCTGGTAGGCAGGATTTCTTTTGTGATTAAATATCCATTTTTTTGTAGGAAAAAAATGTAGCTATTTGGGTAAAGTATTGTGTCTCCTAGTACATGATTCCTGTTTGCTTGCCTGTTCATCTACCTGGCATCACAGGTGATTCCCAAGGTAGGTGTTGGGCTCTATGGGGAAAAAGAAGCCTTTACTCTACAGGACTGACTTATTTGCCCTGGAAAAAGGGAGAACTATTTTGTGAGAAGCCGTTCGTGGAGGATGCATAATTCCCCAGGAAGGGGACTGAGGTAACTCCTGTTTATTGTCACTCCCTGAACCAGTCTCCCAGGGCTCCTTGTCCAGGGAAATGATGCTAAAATTTATGGACCAATTACAAATAGTCCACGTGTGTCTTACATATGAAGTGTCTACAGATATGTTTCCCAGGGCTTTTAAAATAAACATTTCCTCATTAAGGAAACTTTACAACAAAGGGAAGATACGTATTGTCTGCCGCCTTGGGCTAGAATCTATATATTTATTACCCCCTTAGTACTCTGGCTCTTATCACGTTCATTTCCTAATTTTCTTTGGACCACCCCTGTGCCTAGATTTCTGCCTGAGTGATGCAGTCTTTGGCCAGCCTGACCGTCTACCCACTCAGCCCCTGTTGGACTTGGCTTGTATGCATGCTTATTCGAGGGTTGAGAGGGACCAGAACTGGAGCAATGACTGGCCCTACCTTCTGGCTCACCTCAGGGATGGGCACTGATCACATGTGACCCTCGTATCTTGGCCTTTCCTATGGTTAGGCAGGTTCACAGGTAGGTAGGCAACTGGTAGCTCACAGCAACTGCAGAATGTTCTACTTTTGTTCTCAGATACTAAAAGCCCTGAGTAGAAAATGGTATTTTGTACTTGGAAATGTGCCTTATAAAGGCATGTGCCATTTAAGACCCTGTGTTCTAAGACTCAAATACCTGAGGGTACATAGGCCCCAAGCAGCCCAGACTGAGGAGGGTCAGCTACATCATAGGGGTGTTGTTAGGGGGGATACTTCCTAAGGGCCTGGGGTTGGGGTGGACAGGGACCCTAATTTGGGCTTCTAGGAGAATTGTTCTTGCTGGAAAGAATGTTTGGGGGCAGTTCTCAGGTCACCAGGCTGAACTCCTGGATTGTAGCTGGAGCAGATGACCACTGTGAAAGGGTCAGCAAATCACCAGACCGAGATGGTCAGATGGTTTCCCCTCTGCTGACTGCCCAGACCTCGCCTGATTGTTGCTCAGCTGCTCCCCGGGTTCTCCCGGAGTCCCTTTAAGAACTCCTGTGATGTGTGTGGTTGGTTGTTCACTCCCAACACAGTCATGGAGACTCCTTTTCATGCTGCTGGGTTTAATTGTCTTGTTGGGATAAAGAAATGTTTGCACAGCTAAAGTGGGGCCGGGCTGGACGGGAGCGGTCCCTGATGGCTGCAGAGCAGCTGGCC